CTACACAGTATCCATTTTCCCCACCCCTAACAGTTTGTTACTTATTCATGAACACAGGTGATGTAAGTCTGTATTCGTTGCTGCTCATATTCAGCAGTTTGCAGGTGCTGTGCTTGTATTTGTTTATATTTTCTGTTACTGCTTTTTCTTCACATTTATATGGAAACATGTTTCATTTACTACACTGAAAAACCTTCGTGTTGACATCATTAACACTGTAAACCCACAGTCTCCACACTGCGCCTCCATCAGAGCCGCTCTGTGTGCAGCTCACACGCTCTCTCCGTCGTTCCCACGGTCCAGACACGAGTAGTTTAGGTTAGTTCGGTGTTTCTAAACTGGCCACATGTCAGACAGTTTGATCTTCCTGTGTTGGTGCTGCAGTATCAGCAGCCTGTCGGGGTTTATCCCGTCTCTCACCTCGCAGCAGCTGGGATAGGTGACAGGATCCACATGACCTTGAACCGGATGGCCACTGATGTCTGTGACGAGCAGCTTTACACACATTTTTAAACTTCCTGTACTTTGTGTCCTTTAATACCTGTTTAAGGAAGTAAGAAGCACAGCAGACATCAACAGTTGGAACAGTCACGAGGATTTTTTCTTTATTGTTTCTGAACAGACGAACAGAAGTTCTGCAGCACAGCTGGGATCACGACACAGACACAACAACGCTTCATGTTTAGGATGAAACCTTTTTAAATAAAATTTAAAACCAGTTATTCTTCCACCTTCACTTAACGACGTGTGACACAGTAAATAACATTACAGCCGCTCCTCACTTTGGTTTCTCTTGTGTTTAAAAAATACATGAATTCAAAAGTCAGTCAGTGCAAACAATCAGTTTTATTAAACAGTTAAAGCTTAAAGGATTGCTGATAAGCCCCACCCCCAAGAACAGTATTTCCAGGAATCCCCCTTTCTGATAGGTCAAGGGATTCCTGGGAAAACTGGACCCCAGGAGAGAGGAGAAGAGGAAGGTGCAATTTGTTCTCAGCTTGTTTCCAATTTCGTTTGTCCTTGAAATGGGACAAACAGCATTGTTATAACTGGAATAGTTAGAAATTTAATTTAATAGTCCAGTCACCTAAAATCCACAACCGAGCCTGCAGCTGCCTCCTTTCACAGGATCCAGGATTTTTTCCTATAGTCTGTGGAGACCTGCTGCTGGACCACGTGTCCTGGTGGTGGATATGTTTAAACTGGTATTTGCGCCCTCCGTCCCGAGCTACAGTGCTTCATCTCAGACTACCAACTGACCAGAGATGCAGCACTGCACCATGGGCCGCAGGGATGGAGGTGGACTGGAGGAAAACAGGAAGTTTAGATATAAAAGAGTGGAACACATCATATAAACGAATCACACTTTCACAATGTGTGTGTGTGTGTGTGTGTGTGTGTGTGTGTGTGTGTGTGTGTGTGTGTGTGTGTGTGTG